TTATCACATTTATTAAGTGTCATAATTTAATATGAACTTGTTTATAGCAATATGGTTTCTGATACTTGTAATGGGCTACTAGTTTATCACAAGTTTGTGGGAGTGTACCATATTTGTACTATTAGAAACACATCTTTTAAATGTTGTGCATATTCAGACTTTCTTGAGAGCTTACCAACAGCCTTTTTGTCATGTACCCCGGTAATTGATTTTTCAGCATGTGTGCTTCTAATTCATTGAGATAACTTTCTAAGATTTGTGAAGTGTGAGGGATGTTACCAGCTGGTTGTTACCAATGTGTTGTTTTTGTTCCAGGTCCATTGTAAAACAGCATGTGTGGCCATCAAAAGAAACACAGCCAGCCACAGATGGAACCGATATAGTTGATCCATTACCAGAAAAATTAGAAAAGTGTGTTGTAAGTGTATATTTGTATTGTCTTGCCTGCAGTGAGGATTTATAGTGACATAAAAGTGTGTTGTAAGTACACATTTGTATTGTCTTGCCTGCAGTGAGGATTTATAGTGACATAAAAAGTGTGTTGTAAGTGTATATTTGTATTGTCTTGCCTGCAGTGAGGATTTATAGTGACATAAAAAGTGTGTTGTAAGTGCACATTTGTATTGTCTTGCCTGCAGTGAGGATTTATAGTGACATAAAAAGTGTGTTGTAAGTGTATATTTGTATTGTCTCGCCTGCAGTGAGGATTTATAGTGACATAAAAAGTGTATTGTAAGTGTACATTTGTATACATACAGACATTATTAATATGATCTATATTTTGTTTCATTTCAGTCAGAAAGATTGCAGTCTGATATAATTGTATGTGCCTTGATTGCTATCTTAGCATTTGCTGTTCATGTCAGTACAGTATTTACTGTCTTACAGGTAACTATGGTCCTAGCTGTGATTTGTTCTCTTGTAATCATTATTATCATAAAACTATTTTGAAATAATAAAAAAAATTAAAAACTTTATTTAATTATGTTTTTTACTCTATTTGCAGCCAACATTGAGTTATATATTATACATACTTGCTGGTGTTGTAGGAGTCGTCTTTCATTATTTTATACCACAAATGCGTAAACAACTTCCGTGGCTCTGTGTGGCACATCCAGTCATGAAAAATGATGAATACACTCCGTTTGAAGTTTCAGGTGAGTAGCCGATGACAAAGAAATTAATGAATAAAGATGGGTAGGTGGAGGAATGAATCAATGAATGAACAAACAGTTGGGTGGGTGGATGAATCATTGAGTCATTCAATTCAAGGGATTGGTGAATGAATAAATGAACAGAGATGGTCGGGTGGGTGGATGAAAGATGAATGAATAAATAAATGAAAGATAGATTCAGGAATGGATAAATCATTTTTCTTTTATTTCCAGATGCTGCCAAAGTAATGTGGTTTGAAAAAGTCCATGTATGGATTTGTTTTATTGAACGTAATATAATTCATCCACTTGTCTTCATGAGTGCCTTAACCACAAGTTCTCCAGAAATTTCAATTAAATTTGGATCATTGTAAGTAACAGGTGCTGCAGAATTAGTATATTTTTTGTCATGGTATTTAATTAAATTTTATTGCTCGGAAATTCAGCAATTGAAAAAATCTATAGTACAAATTAGATGAATTGTTATTATAGTAAATTTAATTTTAACCAAAAATTATTACCATACTTGCTCTATTAATAGCGCAAACGCTTATATGCAAACAATAGGGTGAGTCTATGGTAAAATTAAGTCGTATTTTATCCGTCCAGTATGCAATAATGTCTGCTTCTTTTGGATATGTGCTTCTAATAAAGCAAATACTTTTTTCCTTGGTTAATTTTTCTGGTTTCCTTAAGAGATGGCTGCCATCTACTTGTATTTGTAAGACTCCCAAGAAAAGTGTCAAATTTTGACCTCTCACTTTCTAAATCTAGCTACTGCAGAAGAGTATAATGACATTAGTTCTATTTGTTTATATCTTACAGTGCTGGTGCTATTATCGTTACTATATGCGGAATGAAGGCTCTGCGCATGTCCTTTTCAGATCCTGCCAGAGTTTATTGGATTCTTATTTTCACAGTTTTATTCTTCACGTTTGACTTTAGAATGAGCTCTGAGAGTTTCCTTATTGACTATTTCTTTATGTCTGTACTTCTTATAAAGGTAAGTTAATGCATCTAAGTAATCGTTGTTTTTTCACTAAATATTTTAACAAAATTACATGTCTTGAATATGCATCAGAAAAATAACATACATAGTACATCACCATGGCAAACACTACCATTTATTAGAGCCATGTTGCTGCATGTAGGTAAAATAATATTTTATTGAATACATGAGTTACATATCGGGGGATTTATGATATATATCCCACAATGCAACATAAAACAGGATTCCAATGTGCAGGATTACATTACTGTACAGTTATAACACTGCCTTCTGACGTCATTTTTAAATGCTTTCAGGAGGTGATGCCTTAACAGAAAAAAAAACTGTGTATAATAATTTTTTTTTCGTTGCAGTTTTATGAGTACGTTCTGAAAATGCAGTTTGTCATTACTTACATAGCACCATGGCAGATCACATGGGGATCAGCATTCCATGCATTTGCCCAACCATTTAGTGTACCACGTATCCTTTTATCTGACGAACTGTGACACTGATATGGCATTTATAGCCTGTTTCACATTTAGTGTGTCTAAGGCCTGCCCACATTTTTGGTTTCTTGAATAAACAAAGTTGTTGTTAAATAAGTTGTTGTTTCTCCTCGTCATTTTTCTTTATTTACGATGCAATTTTTTATGAAGAGATATTTAATTTGAAACATGGATGGTGCAAAGAGTGGGCACAAACAATCTGTTTAAATCTGACTTTGGTTAAAGTTTGTTTTGAACAGTTGAACGAAAACTCAACGACAATTCGTGGAACCTATCTGTACATTAGAGCGAGAATTTTTTTTACAGGCATGGGAAACAAGTTGCAAAACTTTAATTTTGTTTCCTTAACAGTCCAATTAACTCCTCTCATAGGTGTTGCTGTGAGTAAAATGAAAGTCAAAAACACAATTTACATATTTAATCAAAGATAGTGGCAATTACGTTACGACTCTAGTTGATACTATGGTTATTGAGTTATTCTGGCTGGCTTAAATATTTATGTTCCTGTTCACACACAAAATTTAGTCTAAAATTTGGGCCAGCCTTAGGCCTGTCTTATTGTGTAATGTGAAACCATCTAATGATTCATGGTACAATGGTATATTGCTTTACCTCTGTCAGTGATTCTGCATTATGCCATTGTGTGAATATTTCATGGCTACCACACTTATTTTGTTGTTGTACATGCATATTTCTTTAACTGTATACTAGATTCTGCAATGTTATTCATTCAGGCCGCAATATCAGCGTTATTTTCCACTCCACTAAATCCATTTCTTGGCAGTGCAATATTTTTCACGTCTTATGTAAGACCAATCAAATTTTGGGAAAGAGATTATAAGTAAGTATGAACATGTCTGTCGGAAATCTGTCAAATTTCACTTGTCAAATTTCACTTTTCTTCAATTTCTTCAAGTCTGTATAATGTAATGATGATATCTCAGATTTTCTATCAAAATTGAGTTCAACTTTTCATGACTACAATATAATAATTGTTTTCTGGTTGCCTTGATTTCAGTACAAAAAGAGTGGACCATTCCAATACTAGATTAGCATCTCAACTTGATCGGATGCCTGGTAAGATTTCTTATTCACTTCATTTTTAGTCCCCGTTCGGACGAAGTCCGAAAACGGGGACTTATGTTTTGACCTCCGTGTGTCCGTGCGTGCCTGTGTGCATGCTTGCGTCTGTGTGTGCGTCCGGACCTGTATCTTAGAAATGCCTGGACCAATCACAATCAAACTTCACACATACATCATACATGATATCATACATATGCACGTCCATTTGTTTCTTGATCTGATTCAAGATGTCCGAATGTCGGCCATTTTTGTACTAAAAATCATCAAAATCAAGCATTTCCCGGCTGTTTACAGATGGATTTTGTTCAAACCTTGTATATACGTTGGACTTTATAGGACCTTCATGAACATCATTTTGTTTTACGATCTGATTCAAGATGCCTGAATGGCGGCCATTTTTGTGCTAAAAAATCATAAAAATCAAGCGTTTCTCGGTTGTTTACAGATGGATTTTGTTAGAACTTGATATATACATTAGACATTATGCGACCTTGATGCAAATAATTTTGTTTTTCAGATAACATTCAAAATGGCCGACTGGCGGCCATTTTGTTTTAATGAATGGGCTTCTAGACCCATATTTCCAACTTGTTTTGACTGATTATGTTCAAGTTTTAAATATTCATTATACATCATGTCATAGATAGACAGATATATTGGTTTGACGATCCTATTCAAAATGGCCGAATGGTTGTCATTTTTGTGCTAAAAAATCATCAAATATCAAGCATTTCTGGCATTTATGGATGGATTTCGTTCAAACTTGGTACATACATTAGACATTACGGGTTCCTGATGCACATCATTTTATTTTTCAGATCAGACTAAAAATGGCTTTTTTATTTTAATGAATGGGTTCCCAGACCCATATGTCTGACTTGTTTTGACTGATTATGTTCAAATTTTCAGGGGTACCAATGAAAGTGTAGCTTTTTAATGAAAATCACAGCTTTGACACCGTGCAGCATAGCATGGTCAGGAAAAGCTTAGCTGCAGGGAATGAAATCCGCTAGCTTTGACATCGAGAACTCAAGCTTTGAACATATTTTGATGTTGAGGGTGTACACAACATGGCTGCCTCCAAAAGCAGCGTGAGCGACGGTAAGTATTTTACTCGTTTTCTCAACAAAATCACCAAGTTATGCTGTGTAATATGCCGCGATCAGTGAGGTTCAGGTTCAATTTCATTTCTAGAAAGTTTCAGCCACCATTTTACGAAACTTGCTAAGAGAAATCTCAACTCTAATTTTCGAAACGAACAGGCTAGCAGGACGTCCT